TTTCATTCAGCCCGTCCTACCCCGTCCCACTCGCAATTACGTAATAATCATAATTAATATACTGCAACTAAAGTAATAACTATTTCATGTAGAACACATGTGTACATTCATACGACAATATCAAACATCCATCAGCAAAATGCGGTTTTCCAAACATTTCATGTATGAATAAATATACTTCTCTTTGTACACTTAATACATTCACGTCTAGACGCTATTAAAATCCATATCGAAGTTACTTTTATAAACAGAACGAAGGAAAACAATCAGATTCATCTAAACTAATATATAAAGACAGAAGTGCGTTGACTTACAGCGCGATAATATCCGAATCTACTGAACCAATACAGATGGAACTTTTCTGATAGCTTCCTTTAAAGGCCTAGAGTATTATAGGCAATGATTTATATTCATAAGTCTTAATATATTTACAAAATACTTTTCTGGTCATTTTTCGCCTAGCTTAATATCACAGACTCAAGAGTGCATAAATGTCAGTAGTTTAGCAGCGTTCCTCCATTGGAAAACGTATGAGATCTATTGATTTCATCAATGCACAGAATTGCGAATTTAGAGGACTGTTTGTTTACTTCCGTCAGTTGTCTAATCCGAAATAATTTTGAGAATTTCGCCGCTTTATTCATGAAATTAACTTTGATATTGATATTAATTGCGTGAGGGTGTGAGTGCATTAAGTGTACAAGAGACAAAATATTTGGAAGAGATCATTTTCTGACGAATGTGGTTAATATTGTCATAAACAGCTACGAATGCACACATGTTTAGTTGGCCAGAAAACAAGCTGTGGAGAAGGAGTTGATAAGCACAATACGTCCAAATAACACTCGTTTTAGTTACGTACTTTTACGTTATATATTTTGAACGAATTCATCTATAAGGCAGTGGTTTTTACTTAATGCTAGAAAAAAGTTCATTCTTTAATCGTCCTTGCGGTGCACTGCAAAGCCTTATCTTTTATGTCTATTTACTCGCCGCCCCTGCTTGGATACCTTGTTACCATGACAAGGTGATTGGATGGGCAGAAAGAGGCAGTCGTTTAATTGTTCCACAGATTATGTTGTATTTATACAATTTATTTTCTAAATTTTGGGTGAGGTCAGTCGTCTGACACTAAATAGGCCATGACCGGCCCTTATTCAAATTCCATACAGAAGCCAATCAGAGTTAAGAGAGACGCCATATATATATATATGTGTGTGTGTGTGTGTGTGTGTGTGTGTGTGTGTGTGTGTGTGTGTGTTCAACATTAACTCGCTCTAGCGGTGAATCGGCGAACTACTCATTTTGAAATTTCTCTGCGTTCGAAGTGGTTGATTACCGTTGGATTTCTTCCTCCACGACCAAACGGCGTTGCGTTCACGTCGGTTCACGAGCTCTTTGTGGCGCCGTTAACGTGAGTTAGCGGCCAGTGGATTCGAGAAATTTGGTGATTTACTGCTACGTTTGAAGTCTGAATCGTGCATCATGTCTTCATGAAGGGGTTGGATGCCCAATTGCAAAAATGCGAAATCGAAATTATCCATTAAATCATCTATTTGGATTCCCAAGATACGTGAAACGGTGAGTTACATTTTTTTATCTTTCATTTTTATGCATGTGGTTTATCGATGAATACTGCTTCTTTATTATACTTTTGTTGAATGGTGCTTGTTAAGTTAATATATTTGTTTTAGATGTAGACAATGGCCCTGCTGTGAACCCTGCTCTCCCCAAATGCAGGTGGAAATATCTCACAAGCAGTAAATAAGCATGGAAGTTTTTCTGAAACGGCATTATATCTGTCACTCGAAGGACGTGTGATTATGGTGTTCCAGTAAAATTTGGGAATCACGAAATCCCCTTTGCAAAGAAGCATTGCAGGATTTCAATGCAAGCGTTCCAGAAAAAGGAAGTAAGTTCTTTATTTTCTTCGATGTGCATTCAGGCATTTCAATACTCCGTCGTAATTCAGGTAGCAATTCAATCTGAGAAAGGTACGTTTCTCTTATGTGTGTGAAATGCAAATAGAAGAATGCTATTGAAAGCATAATATATTGGTCATAATTTGTTGTTGATTAAGACAGGTTCTTGGGCCGTTCAGTATGCTTCTACATCATGTGCGGTAGATGCATATGCTATCCTTGTAAATGGTAAATATTCGCCATAATCTTTAAGAAACTCAATTATCACATTGTTGCATATTTTGAAGGTATGAAAATTTTCATATTTGTTTCCATTTCAAATCTTTTAAACCCATGAGAGATGTCACTTGAAGTTTTATGGATGTTTCTCATGGCAAGATTTCTTTTGAATATACAATAATTAGGATCAATTATGTGTAAATTATATAAAATAAAAAACAAATGCTTTTGTGGTTAGTGATTACAGATCCTTGTACCGCTGAACAGGTGACCTAAGCAATTCTGAAAGATGAATCTGTGGCTTCGGTGCATGGAAACTGCAAGATATTCCTGTGCTTTCTAATTCCGTAATTATAGCTGCTAGATTAGAAGACTATTTTCTTTTTGATGTAGATTACTTTTCAGAATATTCATTTGACGACATAGTATCTTTCTTAACAGAATTTTTTGATTTTCAGATCCTCTTCCAGAGATGGCTTCTGAAGCATTCACAATTGACCCTAAATGACAGTAAGTGTTTCCTGGGTTCCTTGTGCAATCAAATATTTGAACTTGGACAATCCATTCTCAGAATTAAATTGTGGCGCATAAGCATTGTTGAACCTGTTGCATTCCACTCATTGTAAATATTTTTTTTTAATGAATGTAGTTTCACAGTGGATCCCATCTTTGAACAGCCAGGCCCTGAACTGTGCATGTGTAAGTTAGACACGGGTAAATAAACTAAGTTGGTCAAGTACTTATTGATTAACACAATCATTTTTAGGCTGAAACTAGTAAAAGCCGATCTTTCAGTGCACTAGTGCTTAAAGTGGGACAATGCTCAAATGTTCAGATAATAATTTGAAAGCAACAAAGAAAACAAAATAGTTTCGTGTGACCTAATCAGGTACTGTTGACCTTAATATAACCAAGTTCATAATTAACACATTCCCTGTCCCTATGAAAACATCAAAATATATCTGCAGATCCGAATGACTATATTATATTGTAATTTTCTCAAAAATTGAACTATTTTTCTACACTTCCAGGTGTAATTCAAAATTCTATGACCGTCCTAGCAAGTCCAATTCAAAATCTGTGCAGCTACGGCAAGTTCCAAGGGAATATTTGCTTTAGAAGTTGTAAACGTTTGTGACTAACATGTGGTTCACAGATATCAAAACCATTGGGTGTTACGTTTTTTGAACCATGTATGATTCATATGCTATTTGTATTCTTTGATTAAAATAAAATGAAAGGAAGTAATACTATTTAAAAACACATAGTGAAAGTGATTTTATTTTGCACGTAGGATTGGGGCACCTGATGGATTGGCCTCGTGATGCTACTTTTCCGACTCGCAAAATAAAATGGCATTTATATCATAACTATTTGTTTTACCTTGGTGAATGTGCAGAAATCTATTTATTTGTTTTTTTTTCAACACTTTTGGCATTGTTCATGTATAATACTCTGTAACAATGTAATATTGCATTGTATTCACATTAATTTGGCATGTCTACAAGCCAGTAAAATTGCATTTGAGCTGATGTACTCTGTTTATTGCCTTGTGTAATACAAAATTGTTAATTCTATTAAAATTGTGTAATACCAATATGCTTAATAAATACTAGATTCTACTGCCCTAATTTGACTTTTTTCATCCATATATTCCTTATATTTATTGTTGTGATTTTTTAAATAAATTATGGAAGTGAAATTTTAAAGTTCCCGCGTTGCTTGTTTATTTCAAATTTTTCGGTTACTTCTTTGCTATTGGCTGTCCGTTTTCCCAATAGAAATTATACAGAACAATGTGGCGGCACCCGAAGTTGGGCAAATAAGGCATTCCCTTTTAACATTGAGTGCCGTCTCTGATATATACTCTTTGGGTGTGGTTAAATACACTTATGATATTTCCAAGATATGAAAATTTGTTGACTTATTCCAGTATTTCTCCATTTGTTACAATTTTAACTCTCTTCTGTTCTTTGCCTTACAGTGCCATAACTTTTGTTTTTTGAACTGATATTTTCATAGATTGTTCTGGACCTCTTTTGTCAGTTCAAAAACTGCTCTTTGTACCTCATCTTCAGAATCAGTTATGATTGTTTGATCGTCAGTGTATAAGATTGTATCTATCTTTTTGTTTTTCCCCATTTGGATACCTTTTTTAATTTTATTCCTCCAGTTACTCTCTAGGTGGTTGATGTATATGTTAAGGAGAGTAGGCGACAGATCACATTCTTGTCATAGGTAACTGCTGATTATTATTGTTGCAGACTCCTCCCGTCTCTTAACATTATTTTAATGTCAGAGCTTTTCTCTTTCAGTATTTGCCAGAGTTTCTGTCTGTTTACTGTGTCGTATGCTCTTTCATAATCTATGAATATTACACAAGTTGGTAAATTTCTGTCGCATCATTTGTCTATTATCATTTATCTGTAATGTGAAGATGGCATCTTCAGTGTTCCTTCCCTTTCAGAACTCACTGTTCTTCTCCCGTGAAATTCTAAGCTATTACTTTCAGTCTGTTTCTGAACATATTTGCATAAAGTTTTTGATGCTGTTGGTAATAGTGTGATGCTCCTATAGTTGTCACAGCTCTTCCTTGAGCCCTTTCTGTGAATATTCATGACTAAACCCTCTCGCCATTCATTCTATTGGTATTTTCCTCTCTTGCCATACGTCTTTAAAAAGTTCTAGTAATGTGTCTTTTAGTTCATTTCCTCCATACTTTATAAGTTCTAGGTTGATTTAATCGGAGCTTTTACGTTTTTTTTATTTCTTTAATATTTTCTCTAGTTCTTTAATATTCAAGGGGGTGTCCATATCCTTTTTCTTAGTCTATTTCGTCTATCTATTCGTTTTTTCTAGGATTTAAATTGTTCCATAGCGTGGAGTAGTGCTTTATGCAGTTCTCTTCAGGGATGCAGTCTAGTGAGATTTTGTCTATCACATTCATGTGTGGCAGTTTCAAAATTTTGAATTCCATTCGTTGGAGACCAGAGATGACTACTTCTATATTTTTGATAAATTCTCTCCAGTCTTTCCGTCTGTGTATTCTGCTTATACATTCTAACTTTGGATCTAAGTTTTTATATCATATGTAATGTTTCACTGTTCTTTTCTGAAGGTAATATCTATACTTATTCCTTTTGATTTACTATCTCTTTTAAGTCATTGTCCCATGTTCTCAATCATTTTGTTTTCTTGACTGGTTTGTAACCTACACTCTCTTTTCCTGTTTCAAGCATTGCTTGTTTAAGTGAGATCCAAAACCTTCGATATTTTGATTCTCTACCGTTTGTTATTTTCTTCTTAATCTTTTTTTATATAGATTTCTTATCCTTTCGTCTTCTAGAAAGTAACTCTTTAGTTTAGGTGGTGAAATATTACTATTTTTCTTGTTTTTTGTGATTTGTATGTTTAAATTAATTTTACATTCTACCAAATAGTGGTCTGTGCCAATCTCACTCCTGTATACTTTTGTGTTATTAACATTATTGAATAGGTTTTTCCTGACTTTTACGTAATCTAGTGTATATTTTGTACCTCTTGCTTCCCAATTATATTTATTTTTAGATGAAGATGATTGAAAAAACTATCATATATTATCTGGTTATTGAATAAGAAAAAGTTCAGTAGTGTTTTACCATTTTCATTTAGAGTTTTTTCGCCTTTTGACTTATTTGGTCTACCAATTGTAACTCTGTTATAACTTTCATAATAAACATAACTTTCTCTATACTACGTATATACTCCGTACATACGTACGTATACAAGTCAGTAAAAATAATGTAATGATTTTCATTTTTACTTCAATAAAGCTGCAAATTAAAAAAACTCAAAAGATGTAAATTTGCTTGTTTTTACTTTAAACATTTTCAACAAGCTGCTCCTAAAAATTTGCAACACTTGTTTAACTAGTTTTTGTGGTAATGGGTTAAAAGTATAGCCAAATTAACACGAGAGAGATAGGGCTGTATGCCTCACCGTAAGGCAGCTCGAAGGCTCAAGACTTTAATCTTACGACATCGTCTGAATTTCGGTGTAGGAGCGAGGGGGCTGCCGAAAGGAAATGGCGAGGCTGGGCGCAGCCGCGGGCGATTCCCGAAGTCGAGCAAGGCCCGCCGAGGGCGAGCTCCTCGCGTCATTTCCCGCGGCGCCGTAATGTCTTTTAGATGTCCCTCGCGCCGCGGAGGACGAGGGGGAGGAGGAGGAGGTCCCACATGCGCCGACGTATCGTCACGTCGATGCACGTCCATGTACCTTCTCGCCTTTGGCATGGTGCTCCGTAAATGTCTAACCGAAGTGCTTCGAGGCATCAAAGCGAGGAACTTCAATTACGGACTGTGCGCACCAATTATTTTCTAACATTTATAAGATGAGTTGGAGTAAGTTTTACTCTTTCATATACGTACGTATATACATACTATAGAGAAAATTTTGCATATTTAATACCTTCAAAGCCCTCAAACGTGGAAAACTTCACACCTTCAAAATGTGAACGTAATAGAATGAATACATAAACAATGTACATGGCATTCTGTGTTTACCTAGTAAATACTACAATTTCCCAGCTTTCGTTTCCTAGTATTACCAAGGAGCTAGGAGCTGAAAATTGTTATAAAGTGCTGATGAAAATTCTGCACTTCTTGAAAGCTTTTGCTTTTTATTCACATCACTCAATGTACTAACTACTGTCAGCTAAATGCAAAATATGTTATGTGTCGGCTGATATAAAGTCTACTACGGGTTGCAACCAGCTTTCTAAGGAAAATATCTAGTGACAGTGGGTGCGTCTACAATACTTTGAGCTAAATATGGGATGTTCCAAATAAAGCATCGTCTTGCGCTACCCAGACGTTTGAATTCGGCTGATCTCATGTCTTTTGTCGTATTTGGATTTTTTTAGAATTGCACAAGCCGAGACAATATGATCAATGGTGTCTTCTTGTTCTTGGCAAATGCGGCATTTATAATCATTGGAAATTTTGAGATCTTTATCATAATGTTCTCAACGCCTGAATTTAAGCAGCCATTACACATGATTTCGATTCTGGCTTCAATTTTCTCATTTAAGCCACCTAAATGATTGATCTCTACCTGGAGTGGTTTGTCTATCTACGATTTCTTGAACGTTATTTGTCTCACATTTCATGTTAAATTGAACTCAAATGCCTTATTTTACGTGGCGAGACTCAGGTCATGAGGCTTGCTCTTCCGTCTGACCACACAAATTTCGCTACGCTCCTTTCACCAACTGGCAGAGAACAGAGGTGTTTCTAGGGCGGCGAAACAGGCTATTTGAATTTAGCTCAGATGCTTCATTTAGGCTTAAGGATATTTTACATGCATCCATAACATGGGATAGCCGGCTTTACTTCTCCGAAGGAAGACGTATGCAGGATTTCCTCGCCTTTAAAAATCCTCGGCTTCGATCGGGTTTGAGCCCGCCAACTTGGGTATAAGAGTCCGATATCTAACCGTTACACCATCGTCGCCGTATAGCATCAGAAATTCAGTTTGTGTGCTATTCTGAGTGTCTTGCGTAGTCTTCGCAATGCTTCTTACTGCACGTACAATGCCTCTGTTCTTGTGGCAGATTTAATGACCTGCCTCATTGGATCATCTTGATGTTTGACTACATTTTCTACTACATGCTATTATTATTATTATTATTATTATTATTATTATTATTATTATTATTATTATCATTATCACTATTGAGTGTGACTGATCTTGCGTGTGCATTAAGTACGTGGGTGTGGCAGGTGCTGCTGTGCGACAACCTGTCGCTGCCGTTCCGGGACGAGAGCTTCGACGCCGTGCTGTCGGTGGCCGTGGTGCACCACTTCGCCACCACCGAGCGCCGCGTGGGGGCGCTGCGCGAGCTGGCGCGCGTGCTGCGCATCGGCGGCCGACTCATCATCTCCGTCTGGGCCATGGAGCAGCGCCACCGCAAGGTAGAGTCCACCCACACATAAAGGCAACCACAGAGGCAAAATCTGCGTTTTTGCTTTATATTGCACACTTTGTGAAATATCTATAGTTTTCTGGCATCAATAATTACGTTTACGCATTCGTAAACCAGGTTAAATCTTTTGAATAGTTCCATCAAGAAGATAAGGGTTTTGACTGAATATGAGAGGGACGATCATTCTTTAATGTTGAATTCACTGTAAATCTTTACAGTGTATGGTATTTACAAACATGTTTTATTCCCTCCGTACGTGAAGCGTTAACTGATTTTCTAGTATTTTTCACTCCACCGCCGATTTCTGTAAAATACATGTGCCCCATTATTTAAAAAAATAATTTTCTATTTTGTTAGAGGACGCAAATACAACGCAATGAACGTATGGTAGCAAAAGGTGTAATTTGTATTTCATATTGTATTATTTCTGCATAAATATACAGAAAAAATAGTAAAAAAATATTTTATTATATATTAACTGAAAATTGCAAAAACACTCCAAAAATATAAATTTGCTTGTAGTTAACTAAAACCTACTCTTACCCCTCCTACTCTTAAAATTGTATAGCACTTGGTTTAATATTTTCTTGGATAATTGGTCAAATGTATAGCTAAATGAATCAGGGAGATATAGGCGTTAAAGACCCTCCGTAAGCGCCATTACTTCGACTTCAACGGCTTAAAAGAACTACACTCGTGGAAACGTGCGAGAACAGGCTCGTCCCCTGCCCTCTGCGGCAGTGCGCTGGCCACGACGCGAAACGTCATGGCGCCGTGCACGATGACACTTGTTGTTTAACAGTCAACGATGATCATTACGAAAGTTCATTTTTTTGTAGTGATACATTAAAAATATGCGTTTTATGGGAAACTGAAGTGCAAAATTGGTTCATTACACTTATTTGTTTTAAATACTAGTTCCAGCCGTTAAGAACAGGAATTTAAATAATACTTTTAATAATATTATGTATTTATTATAATACTACACCAAAAAGGATTAAAACTATTACTTGTTAAAACTAATTGTCAATGTCAATGACGCTAGTGCGTCAAGTGGTGCGTATACGCAACTTTGAAACAATCTGATACATAAATTCATCTTGGAATAAGAGGAATGAAAACAGAATGAAGAAGAACATTGCATTTTTTACATTTGCAAATTGTATTGTTTTTTCACAATCTGCACCTCCTGGCTTTTTCTTCCTTAAGGACCAAATCATAACCTATTGATTGAATGGTGATTCCGGACGCATCAACTCTTAATTTCATAAGTCCCGAACTTGTAGTACATATTTTATCCCGGGAGGAGGTGTTGATCTTTTTCTGCTAATGGCGAGATCTGGCTCCGATCTACCCATCGGCTAGCGGGGTTTTCCCATATCCCGGTATCTCCCATCAGTGGGGCAATCCTCATTCGGGACAAGATCTAAGCTCCCGACTGCTTTCCCTGCACGTGGAGTAGTATAGTGCACACAAATGTACAAGTGCTAGTAAGTAGGATAGGACCAAGATGAGGAGGGAAAGAACGCTATCTGTGGCTCGTTGATCAGAATACTCCTCCTCCATTTGCCTGATGTTGATCGAGAAAATAAGGACTTCCGATGTGAGAAGCCGGTTGCTAGAATTTTCCTTCAGACTGCGGTTGAACTCAAGCTTGCTATGTGGCTACTGTCGAAAATCCTGCCATCGTCGGGACTCGAACACTAAGACGGCTCGTATGCCGCTATTAGGGTTATTAAACTATTGTTTAAAGGGAATTTAATGGCTATCGTTTCGAGACCTGGAGTGTGAGGAAGGTTGATTTTAATAAATGGTATGGAGTTTTCTATTAGTATTAGAACACCACCTCCGTTTGCATTTGATCTGTCGGTTATGACTACAATATAACCTGTTATGCTACATGTAACATCTGATTTTAAATGCGTTTCCGTAATGCAAGCTAGATTTATTTTGTTATCTTTTAGAAAATAAGTTTGTTCTAATTTTTTATTGTTGATGCCATTAGCATTCTAGTTGAGCAGACTTAAATTACTATTATGGTACTGTTGCATTATTGTTGTTGGGGCTGAGAGAGATGCTTTTAAACTGCTGACTATTGTTGGGATGATATTATTAATAATATTGACTAAGAAGTAGGTATTTGAGTTAATAATGGAATGAATGAAAGAGTTATTATTAGAATTATTTATAAGAGGAGGCAGTGTGGATAGGGTATTGTCAGGTTGGTTGTTTTGATTTGTATTTTAGGGAGGGTTTGGAGCAGATGTGAAGTTTGGAATATTGTTAGATGTGGGGAGAAATGGGAAGTTTTTTGAGGTAAGTCTTGGAGAGGGGTTGTTTCTTAATCTATTTTAATTATTGCCTGATTTGGGGTTATTTGAGGGGGTGTCTATTTGTCTTTTATAATATGGGCATTCAATGGATCTTAAATCAGCTCTGTGTGATCCATTGCAATTTTTACAGGTTGCAAGTAAGTCTTTTTGAGGGCAATTAACAGAATAATGATCCTGTGTACAGAAAATGCACGCGATTAAATCGTTACAATTATTCCTCGTGTGTCCAAAGTCCAAGCACCGCATACACTGAACTGGACCTTCTGCCCTTCTTCTTTCTGGCTTATCACTAATGTTACAGATCTGATTAATTTGTAGCACTTGTTCGATAATTTGACTACCGTTGAATTCCGCTGCAATAACTGGAATGAGCACGTTATTTTTATAAAGTCTTGTTACACTGATGATGGACGGGAATTTGTGCTGAAGGTCATCGGTTATTTCCGCTAGTGTAATTGTTGAGTGAATATTTTTAAAGACGACAGAACATTTTTTATTGGCTGGATCTTTGTTGGTGTGGAATTGTCTTTTGGTTTCAATGGGGTATTTGATGGCTGTTCTGAAGTCTGCTATTGATTTAAACATTATTTTAATTCTGTTTCCGTTCCGTTCTGATTCTATAATCTGTTGTAAATTGGCTGGTTAATTTTTTATAATCTCTTTGTTGAATTCCGAGATATTATAGATATTATTTACAAAAATGGGAGGGATTCTTAGATTTTCGTTTTCTTGTGGCGGAGTGACATTGGCAAACTCAAATCTTTTGTCTTGATTTGATAGTTTCTCTAGCACTACATATCTGTTTTCCACTGGTATATTATACTGAGTTGAATCTGAAGTGATTGATTTCTTATTTGTGGGGAGGTCTACTTCTCCTGAGTTATGGGTGCTTTTAGCACTGTTAGTAATTGTTAGCGACTCACAGTTATTGATGGAAATGGCTGCTTCGCCGCAAGCTGCGACTTTCGCTGAGCAGAGGTTTCCGACCAGGAGGTTTCCGGCCCCGGAGAGCTGTTGCGAGCTGCAATCGGCACCTTGAACAGTTGCAAACTGCCCATACTGCATGTTTGAGGCAAGCTGTGGGTTTTGGCAGCTCGGGATGGCTCCGAATACGAGATGATGTTGTTGAATTTCTGGACTGCTGGAGGTACTGTCCATGGCACACGCGCTGCCGTAGAGAGTTGCCATGGCTCCTGCAATGCTGTGACCTAGGTCACAGCTAGCCGTTAATAATAACTGATTAGCGACTGTTGGTTTATGGCGCACTGTATATTAGCTGATTGTAGTACACAACTTCACTACACAACGCGTACTTCACTGTTATACACTTAGTGAACTTTCTGAGTAACTGCACTGACTAGACCGGAGCGAGCGATGTTGTCGCCTTGGCTGTTCGGCGCTGAATGGTGGCCGGTATCTAAAGCTACCGCTGCCGTCACCAGAGAAAACCATTTCAGCTGTCTATGCTCAAACGCTCACTCTTAATATATTAAGGTTCAGTAAACCAAATATATGTATAGGAAGCATCGCCCCTGGTAATCAGTCCTAGCCCTTTCGTCGTTGCGTTGTGCAGTGTGGTGAGTCTTGGGGTAGGTCTAATTTCAAGTGAAGTTCACAGGCGTAATATTGTGTTCACGAGCGCGCAGTAGGACAAGAAATCTGACACTAAAGCAGCGGTGGGGGAAGCCCGCGAAAAGAAGCTCCTCCCAAAAGGGAGTTTTCAAACTTGTGTTCCCAGAGTAGTTTATTGCTAGGCAAACCACTCATTGGCAATGGAATTGTTACTTAATTAGAATAAAATGAAGAATATTTCTTTTTCTAACTCATGCGTGTAATACCTCATTCCTTGCCGCATCTCAGTAAGTCAGAAAGACAGGGCGAATATAATTAATTAATAATCTTTCGTCGTAAGGGAGGGGAGTTACTACAATATACAGGTGATCCATAGAAATTGGCCACCGCAAATATCTTAAAAACTGTTTGAGGTATCAAAATGCTATTTGCGCCATTTTGTTGCAGATGATGGGAAAAATTACATATTTTATTTTCTTGCTAGTACCGTATGTAATTTTAGTGATATTGACATAACTTTGTTTTTTAAATAGAAGTATGTATTTTTTCTCCAGCACTCTAAAGTTGTTTAAAAACGATATGCAATGATATAAATATTTTTAAAGTTCGGAAAGATCATCTGTAAAGAGTTTTCTACAAAAATAGGGCAATTAGAACTGGGTAAACGCCATGCTGCAGCGCGCAAGGACAGCTGACCTTGCTGACGTAGTATACGTGACGCATCGTGTAAGAAAACGAGAAATTTCGCCGATTACGAGACTTTCTATGCTTTAATGGTAATGCTAATGACCTCGGTTTTGGATTTTCACAAGTTCCACATGCACAAGGAAGGAGGGGTGTTCGAAATGACATTGAGGTCAGCGGAGATGTGTATCTAGATACCTTTATTATTTTTAAATTTGGGGGCCCTATCTTATTCCAGGGAAAAACAATACGTATACATACACTTAGGAGAAATTACAGTATATTTATTTTCTTTTATTTATTGATATATGTCACGTAGGTATCAAGTTGCCCCTGTTTATGCAATCGACTGTTCAAACGGCATCTTCGTATATTACACGATTGAGATGTATCTGCTCAACCATGCTAAATACGAAGATGCCGTTTGGGGTGTTATCAGTTAGTTGTCGCACCCTGTACCCACGTATATAATTGTGCAGACAAGTGTATTAAAATATCTTGGATGTTAAAAAGGAGAAAATTTGAAGACTTAACAAGCTTTCAATGACAGGCATAGTTTTGTAAACGTTTCGGGATTGTCTGACACTTCATTTAATAGTCATATCTTATAAATAATGTAAAATAAATATTTATGTAAAATAATGTATTTTTATGTATAATGACTATGTAAAATAATTATTTAAGGTACAAAAAATTAATTGAAAATACTATTAAATATCAGATAAGTGTACCGCGACTTACAAAATTACCCAAACGATTTTCTCGAGTTCTAATTTATTTTTCAAGTTTTTTACTATTTTTCCCCATCAA